AAAAAAAAAAAAGAAATAAATGTAAACACTATTCACACCTGGGGCCCCCCTGGAGCTTCTGACTTCACTAGCATGGGGTGCTGCTTTGGGGACTTTAAATCTCCTCAGGTGACTGCCATGTGCAGCTCAGGCCGCGAACCATGAGCCACCTATGGGCTTCCTCCAGTGAATGGCTTTGGGCAACTGTTTCTTGGCCTTGGTCAAGCTGCTGACTCAGGAGTAGAGATCAGGAGATTCATTTTTTCATCTTTGCTCACGTGCTAAGTAGGATCTGTGCACTTGGACTTTGAGTGATGTGGGCTGCTGGGTGCCTCTGGCACGGGTACGAGTCAGGATCAAGATGTCAGGAGTCCACAGAAAGAGCTAGAGCTTCCCCTCCATCCTGGTCCCATCCAAGGCTTCCTGCACCTTCCTTTCCTGCTTACTATGGGATGTCGATTGTCACAGTAACGGAGAAAGCCCGAGAGAACAAGGATCATCTCCTCCATGGCACCAGCGGGCAACATAAGTTTGTTTTGAAAGCGTGAATGCACGCGGGAGAGTGACATTTTCTGTGGTGGTGCCACGGAGGTCGGCATTGTTTTCCTTATCTGGCCCTGGGACCCCCAGAGAAGCCCTGTGAAGCGGGGAGAGAACGAGGAGGGGGAGGTCCACATAAAGAGAACGTAAGGGTAGAGCAGAGTTTCTGCGGTTGCTTTTGAATTCTTTTTGTTGACTCTAAGCCTGAAGTGTGGTGAAAGATCGTTGATCCTGGGACAATCTGGACCGCCTTGTTGGTGGGTTCAGTTGGGTCTCCCCACCTCCCTTAAAGCCCCTGAATGGATTCCAAGATATGACAAGCTTTCCTAAGAAAGCCCGTGTATCCTTCCAGCACACATGAGAGATGCACAGACAGATTATACCTTCCTGCTTTGAACGGACCTGAATTAAGCTGCTTGATGATGAATTCGATCTGGCGAACCATTTCAGCATTGCCTTCTTTGATGAAGCAGCGGAGGACGTACTCCATTCCCTGGGGCAGTAGACAGAGTAAGAGTTAGTATTTTAGTTGTTTTGTGGGGGAGAACAGCTCTACCCAATTAAAAAAAAAACCTTTGGCAGGAGAGTAGGGATATACACAATAAAGATACCTCTGCTCAGTACTAAACATTCTTCTTGTTATTTTTCACAACTCACAGTGAAACTGCTTTCTTCTTGGTTGGCTATCTGACCTAATTATAAAACGTTTGGCAGACAACAACAAAAACCTATTGTACAGAGAACTGGGGGTTGCCAGAGGGAGGTGGGGTGATAGGTGAAATAGGTGAAGGGGATTAAGAGACACAAACTTCCTGTTATAAAGTCAATAAGTCGTCACAGAGATAAAAAGTACATCAGGACTACAGTCAATAATGCTGTAATAATGTATGGTGACTGTGCTTGTCTTGATGAGCAATGGATGTACATCTGAAACTAAAAGAACACTGTATATCAACTATATTCTCATAAAAAGTGAAAAAAAACTATTGTGAAATTTAACTGCATAAGTATTCCCTTTAGTTTGGGCAATATGTTGTTTTGGGAGGTAATTTCTGTCCTGTGATTTCTTTACGTTTATACACTTCCTTCTGGATTTTAGAAACAAAATGAAGAGTAAAGCCATATGTTTAGAGAAATAAATGAACAAACAGAACCTCTTTTTAAACAGCTATTGTTCTTCTTCTATCAAAAGAATTATAAAGGCACCATATTGCATAATATTTACTTTGTTACAAAACACTGACATCAGAACTCTCAATACTAGCTAACAGAATTGCAGGGAAATGTAAGATACCAACTTAACCACAGGTATCTGTTTCCCCGCCTTCCTCTTTCCTTGAGGGATCTGAATGAGCACGTGTGGCTGGAGCTGATGAGACCTTCTTGCCACAAGAGGAAAGTGTATCTAATAATGACCCCAAAATAGAGGAAGCAGACTCCAGAGGTCCCAGGAGAGAAATGGATCCAGTAACACATGAACCCTGATCAAGGTCTGCCTGATGCTTATGCCTGGACTTTTCAGTTAAATGAGCCAATATTTCCCTCTTTTAATGCAGGCCTGTTTGGAGTCAATGGCTGTAAGTGAATCAAAGAAATGTCAAGTGCAGTTTTGAACATGGTGAATTCCCATCGTGTAGAGAAGAGCATTACCTTCCAGAAGGCTAAGTCTGGATTAGAATCTGAGTTCCCTCGTGAATTAACAGTGTGACCTTGATCAAATTACTTAGTTCCTCCCAACCTGTGTCCTCAACTATAAAATAAGGATGGCAACGCTGGTTAACATGAAATCTTTAAAAGGTAAAAAATGTAATTGGGTGTTGGTTAGGTAGATACATATGTTTGTCCATTGCATTGAACTATATAAATTATACCTAAAAAAACAGCATCCAGTCCAAGTGCTGGTACATAATAGATGCTCAGTAAATGGTTAAGGGGAGTCGGGGTGGCTCAGTTGTTTAAGGGTCCAACTCTTGATCTCAGCTCAGGTCTTGATCTCAGGGTTGTGAGTTCAAGCCCTGAATGGGGTTCCATGCTGGGTGTAAAGCCTACTGAAATGGTTAAGATCGTTCCTGCTGTGTTTGGAAGGGATTTGTGGCTCAGAAGAGAGATCTGGTAGCCGAGGCCAAGGGAATAAACAAGGTTCCGGGTGACAGCAGAGTGAGAGGCTTAGGACAGCACCTTTGAGAAGGGAAACATTTAACGGAGAGGCAGGCAGAGACAGGCAAGCGCACAGAGGAGAGCATGAAGGAGTGGTCTGGAAGGGAGGAACAACTCTGGATAGTCTTTGAGTCAAGGGAAGAGGGTATCAAGCGGGCAGGAGTCTGCTCCAGCCCAGGCCAGACTGTCTAGCTGGGATTTCAATCCTGGGGAAGAGCTTCATGGCCGACAACTGCACCAGCGCCGGGGGCAGGAGGCTTTGGAGCAGGCATCGGCGCAGCCCTATTGATCTGAACCACTCTCCCGTCCCAGACCTTGGCAGTCTCTTAAAGCTCAAATGGCCTCAGTGCACTCGTTTATCTTCTTCTCTGTTTGGTGGGGGGTGGGGTGGTGGGGTGGTGGTATTATTTTAAGACCACCATCATAGCATTTGGTACCGATATAATTTCTATGTTTTCTTTGTCGTTTTCCACAAGCATACGAATGTTTTACCTGGTTGCAAAAACAGAGTTCTTATGATGTCATATTGTCCTCTCCTGTTGGGAGTCCAGTTACATATGTGTGAGACCTCTGGGTATTGTCCCCCAGGTCTCTGAGACACTGTCCCTTTCCTCCACACTTTTTCTCTCTGGCCTGGCTGATCTCTAAGGGTCACGCTCTAATGTCCTATAACACGAATCTCTCCTCCCCAGTTGGTCCCTGTCCCTTTACTTCTGTTTTGTCCTGCCTTCCCTGCCCCTTGCCCTGGATGTCCTTCCTCCAAGCTGCCTTTCCTGCTGTCTGATCCATATCACCTCCCTTCTTTTTTTCTTAGCCTACGTGTTTTCTTCCTTGGTGTCTCCTTTGGTTAAGAATTCCTCTCACCAGAAGGACCATAATGCAGAATTTAACCAAGTCCATTTTCCCTTGTTCCGTACTGAAATGATTCCCCTCTCCCCCAAAGTGATAGGCAATTAAGTTTCATTGTTCAGTGTGACCACACAGAATAGTTCCTAATTGAGTTTTTATCTCTGGCATAACTGTTGATGTAATTTTAGATGACTAATTAGGAGATTTAGCAATTCTTCTAAGTAAGCAAAATCAAGTGGAAGAACATGTTTCACTGGTCTCAAACTGAATTTGGCCTGTCTTTTGACTGTGGAAATATATTTAATCCCTTCATCATAGCATTTAATATGCACACAGTTGAGCTGGTTCCGCATGTTATGAGAAAAGGGACGAAACTCCAGTGGTTTTGCTGATTAGATCCAGAAACACTTGTTATCGCATACGATGCTAATCACCTGAAGCTTGTTTTATGCTTAATCCAACAGAAGCACTAACGTAAACACATCAAGTATTGAATTCACTATTTACCGACCACACCAGGAACCAGACAGCTTTATCGTCTTTACCAGAGTGTCTGTCCCACTTGGCTGCTGTGAGAAGGTCTGCAGCCTCCGAGTGTTTGGACCACACCACTGTTCACTCCTGCCACAAGTGCCCTAGGACTCCTGCAGGTGAATTTCAGTGATACTTTCTCCATTTCACTGTTTTCCTGCTAAGCTTCTACTATGAAATCCATAGGCATTCCCAACGCCCCAAAGTAAAACGAATCATTAAAAAAAAGTCTATTAACTTTCCAAAAATAAGCCTGTTGGGAACTTTCTAACATGGTAGTTCTTAGGAGTTAGGGATCCCTCGAGAATATGATAAAAGCTCCAGATTCTCTCTCCAGAAAACTGCAAATACATATCTGGCATACAATTCCAGGGAGTTCATAAGCTACGTGCAAGCCACGGGGCCCAGTCTCAGATCTCCTTGCTCTAACAGCTTCTGAACCGTGGCACTGATTGAAGCTTACGAATTTCTCAAGCATATTTGCTCTCTTTCTTTCTTTTTTTTTTTTTTTTTTTTTTTTTTTTTTGTAAATGTTTATTTATTTTTGAGAGAGACAGAGACAGCACGAGCAGGGGAGGGACAGAGAGAGAGTGGGGCAGAGAATCCTAAGCAGGCTCTGTGCTGTCAGCGCAGAGCCCGAGGTGGGGCTCAAACTCACAAACCTATGAGATCATGACCCGGGTCGTAGTCAAGAGTCAGACGCTTCACCAACTGAGCCACCCAGGTGTCCCTCAAGCACACTGTCTTACCATTGCCCTTGCTTCCTCACGAATGGACGGAATAGAAAGGATGCTGTACAGAGCTCCGTTCACATACGGCTGTATCTTTAAGGGGAGAAAAAACAGCCAATTACAAGTTGTCACATACCGTACAAGTCAGTGATCAAACACCCCGCTTGTGAACAGTGTGGCTCACGAGGAGAGAGAGCACTACCACCTTCTTCAGCTCCAGGACACATGTTTCCAAAGGACAGATATCTCCATGTCCAAATATGGAGATATCTCCATATTTGCATGTCCCAGTGACAGCTACAACGAAGAGTTCAAACCCAAGTTCATTACTGGCTCCCAAAGCTCACTCCTGCCATATGCCACTGCTTAACTGTCAGCCTGCTCATTCAGGCCAGAACCGGTGGAGTCATCATCGAATGCTCTCGCTTCTGCTCTCCAGTGTTGAGTCTCCAAGCTGCCTTTGATAGGAACCCTTCTTTTCCACACACACTACCACGGTCCTTGTTCGGACATCCTCCATGACCTAGGCGACATCGATCCTCCCAAAAGGTCTCTGCCTTTGATGTTCACACGTCAGCCCAATAATCCCATCATTGCCAAAATTCTACAACGTGGGCCAAATCGTCCCTCTTCCTACCTCGTAAACCTTCCCTAGAGCCTACCTGGAAAGTCCTCACTCCTCAGTACGGCACACAGGAGCCTTCGAGGTGTGGCCTCAATATCGTGTCCCCCTGCCCCTCCCTTCCTGCACACATCCCACGTTACTTACGGGCCCCTCCCCCCCCCAGCTCTGTTTCCTGCACATCCCCCTACTACCATACTGTCTCCCCTATTGTGAGCTCTTCGAGGACAGGACTCATGTTTTACTCACACAGGTAACCCCAACATCAAGCCACACAGGACATGGTACATGGCAGGTGCTTGATAAATGGCAGCTCCCTTCTGAGCAAATTTTGTGCTACACTCTCCACAGCAGTGAAGGGCTCACGTCCCACCCGTCTTTTCTGGCGCTGGACTTTATTGTCCCTTAACCTTTGCCAATCTAATGGGTAAAAAAAATAATAAAGGGCGTCCTATGGCTGTTCTTTCATTTTCCTGACCACTGGCCAAACTGGTCATCAAGATTTCCTGTTCTGTAACTTGCCCCCGTGTGTACTTTATCTTCTTCTTCTGACTTGTATTTATCAATTCATAGGAGATCTTCATGTATACGGGAACTTTTGTCCTATGTGAGGCCAATTTTTCCTCCGGGTAGCCTCTGTCCTTTGACTCTTATCATGGCGTCTTTTTCCATATCCAAAAAGTCTACTATTTACAAAGTCAAATATGCGTATCTTTTTCTTCATGGCTTTTGGGTTTCGTCTTCCAAGACTATGACTGCCTCACACAGGACCCATGCACGGAGCATTTATTTGTGTGGCAAACACACTTCTAGGCTCTAACATGTGTACAGGGAGACTTTCCAGTTCATCTTCAAGGCAAATGCATTTGTGACAATTACAAGATTTACATCTGTCGGTCTATTCTGTTCTCGGAGGTAGCAAGCATACTGGTGCCAACACCTGAAACCAACATTTACTATCAGAGACAAATTTCCCACAGGCTTCAACCGCCGTAGTTGAATAAAATGGAGAACAGAGTCTAGAAGGAGTTGAGGGCTCCTGATCTGAAGCCCTCAAGCACAGCAAGCACTGTCACCACCACGGAACCCTCGCTAGCTGAGGCAGCGGGGTCGCTCAGCTGGTGGGCCAGGGGACCTAGGGTATGAGAGAAATGAACAGAGGGGAGCTGTCTGCAACGGGAATGGAGACAGGGAAACCAAGTGCCTCACTCTGACCCAGCGGTACTCTGCCCTGTCCTGCTAAGACACCCCTGTACTTGATCTGGCTAAAGAGGCCAGGTTTTTGCTGAGGCTTTGGCCTCAGGGGCAGAGTGATGTCGTGGTTTCTGCACAGGCATCTGTAGAAAGCAGGAGAGAGAATCCTCATACTGTTTATAAGTTTCTGTTAATTAGTTTATCGAGACCTCCACTTTATTTTAAAAGGGCTTGTGGCACACAGGTTGGACGACAGAAAATCACCCCAGTATTGGGGAGGCCACGGGGGAGAGCAGGAGCTGGTAAGGCCATTCTGCGGGACAGCGTGGCGGGACTCTGACCCGAGACTGCCATGTGGGGCGAGCCAGCAGTGACGAAGTGTCTGCACCCCAGGGGCCTCGGGGGGGTGAGTGTGGCGATGGCACTGAGGACCCTGTGGCGGCTGAGAACTGGAGGTAATGGAGGCCGACAAGCCCGGGGGACTGGATGGGGGCGCTGCAAACAGGGGCTGTTTTGCAGTAGCGGGAGTTAAGGAATGAGATGTATACAAAGCAACACAGTGAAGTCCTCAAAACACAGTGAAAAAGTCTGAAAAGAGTGAGATCTAGAGCACAATACGATTTACATGATGATGCACGCAACACATAACATTAACTACATTTTCAGGCCACATACGTGTCCACAGACGTACGTTAAACAAACACACCCCGGGGAGAATCAGCATGGGGTGGAATGAAGCAGGGCGGGTGACAAGGAGGAGATTAAGTCCCGAGGGGGACCTGGCAAGGACCAGTGATGGCAGGGCGACGGGAAATGAGGAGTGGGGGATCGATTTCCGGCTTCCCGGTTGCAGAATGTGGGGGGGCAGAGCGCACGCACTAACCCGGCCAGCCCTCCCCCAAGCCCAGGCTAGCGGCGCCGCCCCGTACCTCGTGGTTCTCATGGCCGAGCAGATCCGAAAGAACTTTCAGCACCAGGCCTGCCACCTTGGCACACATGTTCTTCCCTTCAGAAAAGACAACGGAACAAAACATGACGTGTCTAAACTCAGAAGTACAGTTTCAAGTCAGGCAAACTTGAGCACAAATCTTGGGCCCTCTGCTAATGAACTGTGTGACCCTGGGTGAGTCACTTAAGCAATCCGGGCCTCGGTTTCTTCCTCCTGGGGTTCCCTAGCGATTATTAACATCTACCGAAGGGTGATGCAGAATGAAGGAACTCGGTATAGGCCGTGCACTCCGAGTGCTCAGGAGACGGTGGCACAGAGCTAGTCGTGTCAGTGAACACACGATACATTACGGGGCAACGTTCTACCTCCCAAGTGCACACGCCAGCGTCACAAAACTCACACAGGTGCTTTAGCAAGTCCAAATAGCATTGTAACAATCACTGCAAATAAACTGATGATAGTAAGAGAAGCTGATTAGAATCTGACGAATGCTTTAAAGCTGGGATATCTGCATACGTTGTTTTTTAAGAGAAGACTGAAGTAACAGTCATTTAGTCAGTCAACAAGACACAGGCCGTGCAGATTACAAAGCATCCGAGGGCAAAGAAGCTTCTAACGAATACCCCGGAGCTATTTAGCCACGTAACTTCTTCTCCACAAACTGGGGCTGCTCAGACTGAGGGCAGCCACAGGTCGGACTTGGCACTTCTTCTAAAGAAGCTTCTTCTATCCCCATAACGGATCATTTCATGGATGGAACCTGCAGAAAAGCTGCGATCACTGCCTTTACTGATCAGATGAGCTGAGATGTGCGCGTGAAAATCCCCTCTCCGGGGGGGCGGTGTGTGAAGTGGGGAGACTGCTGTGGTGAGGAGCAGGGAGCCTGGTCGGGCGTCCTTGCTCTGCCACCGACTTAACCCTGTAGAATCCTGGAAACATAGTTCTCTGTCTTGGGACAGAATGGATCAGAATTCTTAACTTCCTGCCTTTGAATAGTGCAATGAAGATGAAGAAAAATATAAAGTATTTTAATTTCCTCTTACTGCAGGTGCTGTAAACACATAAAATGGTATTTCCAAGGGCAGCAAGGTATTTGGCTTCAGGGATTCACCAACTGTATAACTAGCTGGAAATGTTTTACACCCTACTTCTGTTTCAGTTCTCTATGAGGGAGACTAAAGGCAAACCACAGCAGGCTGGGTGGTGGTCCGGATTCACACCCGAGCCAGAGGGCTGGGGGATAGGGGGGATGGGGGACAGGGTGGAGGGGGGAGCCAGAGGGC